AGCGGGGCTTTTCTCGCCCTGGAGGACGGGAGCAGCGGGACGCCCAGAGCCGCGGCAGCCCCGCCGCCCACGTCCTCCGGGGCGAGAAAAGCTGCTCCACGTCTCCCTGGTCTGCTGGGGGGGGAGGCCCCCCCAGCAGACCAGGGAGATGTGGAGCAGCTTTTCTCGCCCCGGAAGACAGGGGCAGCGGGACCACAGTGCATCTGGGCGTCCCGCCGCTCCCATCCTCCGGGGCGAGAAAAACCCCGTTCGTAACTGTGGATCCAACATAAGTCGGATCCGCGTAACTCGGGGACTGCCTGTATTTAGCTATCTAACAGTGTTTAAGGACATTAATTGGACATTTTCTCAGATGAAGACTTTAAAACTACTGTTGTGTTATGTCTGTCCATCAAGCCCCACTGTCCTGTAAATAGAGAAGAATGTTGTAATGTGTTAATTTTAGTAACTGTCTTCTGTAAGCATTCAAACTTAGAAAGAAAAAAAGAAATATTCAACGATAATCCAAATGTGGTTAAATATACTTACTGGGATTTCTTGGTGTGGTTTTTGGGTGCGTGTGGGGGAAGGGGATTTTCCTCCATGTGACATATTGTGAATAATTAGTTATTTTGGGAATATGACATTAGAGGTTTACTTTTCCACAGGCAAACTTCTGAGAAGTGACACTACTTCATTATATTATACATCTCAGAAGAAAGGGGGAGAGATATTCCTAGAAATTATTCTATTATTGGTCTCTGCACAATTTTTTTTCCTTAGAGGAAATAGGATTTAGTGCCCAACTCAGTAATGCCAGAAAAATCAATCTGTCAACTAAGACAACACACACTTGTGAACTAAACAGGGAGATGAACGGATATGGTTACTGTGGTAGGAGGGAAGCTTGATTTTTATTAAAGCAGAGACTAGGTTGGTGAGAATATCTTTTACTGGACCAATTTCAGTTGGCAAAAGAGACAAACTTTCAGATTAAAGAGAGCTCTTATTAAAGTAGATATTTGTCATTTTGTACTAGAGAGCAGAAGATAGAAGGATGCACTTGCTGAGTAACTTTATCATTGTCTATGCAATAGAGCAATTGTTTTGAGAGGAATAGTGTAACAACAGATCATATTTGCTTTCTCTAGCTTCCACTTGATTAAACAAAAGCTATTACATTCTGCAGTACTGGCCCTTATCTTTTATTTGCTCAGGACTTGGTCTCGTGGCAGATTTTGTTTTCAATCATACATGTTCATTTTAAAAAAATCTTAATGTTACTGTTTTTTTTTCTCTTTAGTCTATACCCAAACTCACTTTTCCTGGTGGAGTATTAATTGGTTGCAGTCCTGGTTTCATGAATGTTCCTAAAATCAAAGGCACACACACAGCAATGAAAAGTGGCATCTTGGCTTCAGAAGCTGTTTTCAGCCACCTAACTAATGAAAACCTCCAGTCAAAGACAAAAGGTAACATCTTATTTAGACTTGTAGCTGGCTTGTGTGTTCAGCTGAAACAACTATTTGAATGTTAGATAAACCATCTCTTCTAAATTGTTTTAAGAGAAAATAGATATACTTATAGTAAATTATAACACATACAAGAAACCAATAGAATGGACTCAGAATGTTTTGTGTGGCTGTTGTGATTAGACCTGGTCCTTGGACTGGAGCAGAGAATGATAAATGTTTTTAACATTAAAGGAATATTCAGGAAGATTAAGCCTAAATTTACAATGTATATGTCAATTATTGTTTACAACCCTTAACAGATTTGTTTTCGTCACTTAAAAAATCTGTAGAAAGTGTGTCTGTTGGTTTGTAAATTCCTCTGCAGTGTTTGCAATAGATTATTGCTTTGGTGCAGACCCAGAAAGTGAAAGATTGAAACAGGAACAAAGATAAGACTAGTTTGTTTTCATTGCCCCAGATGAGAGAATTGGAAATAAAACCTAAACCCTCATAGTATTAGTGGTGAACAGCAAATTGAGATTTTAAAAGGTTTTTTTATTTTAATGAACCATAATACTAATGTATGTAAGAACCTCTTCCCCAACTCCCGCGGTAGAACTTTTCATCTTAGTGTTTCCCTGTACTGGTTGCTTTATAGTTCATCAAAAGGGGAGGATACTGTGAAACATTGCTTGCGCATTAATTGTTCTCTTAAAAACTGTGACAGCAGTAGTCAGTAGGGATGTAAATGGCTAACTGGTAGGTCTCACCCTAATGGCTAGGGCTTACTGATTCCAGTTAGCTGGTAGGGGCTGGAGCAGCTCCCCGCTGCCACATTAGGAGGCTGCTCTTGCTCCAGTCTCGCAAGCCTGACCCCCCACTACAGGTTACATACTGGCTCCCCAAGAGCTGCTGCAACAAAGCCTCCTCCCTGAGAGTGGGACTGCCAGCAGCTCCTACCGACCCTGCTCCCAAGGAGGCTTTGCTGTGGGCTCTGCAGTATAAAGCTTACTATTAAAGCTTTATACTGCAAAGCCTGCAGCACACATAACTGCTGTGATTTTTATTGGTTACACGGTTACATTTTTAAATTAATTTTTACATCCCTACTAGTCAGCAGATGTCTAGAGAGACCAGAAACCTACCCACATCCTGAGCCCTTCTGGAGTTGGCCACAGTGATTCAATCTACATTGTTTAAGCAACCTATACTTTTTAATGACAGCTGCTTCCCCACAACTACGAGTTCTACAAGTGTAGTATTTAGTATGTATATACATGGTATGAGATACTATCGTGGTGTCTTTAGCAACAGAACTCTCCAGCTTTTCCTAACAGAGCAGCAAAACAAGACTATCTACTAACAAGCACGCTATTTTAGTGTACTGTTTTCTTATGTGACCATCGAGATCTTTTTGTATAATAGACCTGTTGGTGGACAGGGAAATAGTGTTTCCTAATTTGGTTGGTTACAGTACTTCTTTCCAGTGCGTCTAGGTCAGGGGTGGGCAATAATTTTTAATGGGGAGTGACTCCCAAGATTTTGACAAGTAGTCAAGGGCCACACTTCTGTGGAGGGAGGTTGCAGTCTGGAATGGATGTTGGATGCAGAAGGGAACTTGAAATAGTGGACTGGGGTGCAGGAGTGAGTGAGGGATCGGAGAGGGAGTTTGAATGAAGAAGGGGGCTGTGATCTGGGGCAGGGGTGCATGGTACAGTAGGGGATATTGGTGCAGAACAGGATTTTGGCCTGGGGGAGGGGCCCTAGGAGAGGGTGCAAGGTCTGGGAGGGAGTTGTGACCTGGGAGAAGGGGGAAAAGGGGCACAGAGGGTTTGGGTGGTGGCCTGGGGCAGGGAGTGAGAGGGGAGAGAAGGTGTGGGGTGCCAGAGGCAGGCTCTGTCTGGGAGACGCTTACCTGCAGAACCCTGACGCAGACTGCTGCTCACTGCTCCATGTGGCAATGTTCCAGGCCTAGTGGGGGCGGAGGGAAACGGGAACGGAGAGAGAAGGCTTTCCACACTGGCCCTGCTCCCAGCAAAATTTCTTAGCTCCCATTGGCCGGAAACTGAGAGATTGGCCAATGGGGGCTGACATATTTTGCTGTGGTGTGGAAACAGCATGAGAGGTCTCCCTCCTCCCTCTCCAGCGGTCCAGAGTGGAGAGCAGCTGGCTTTTTAAAGCATGAGTTGTTCTCTGACTAAGGGTTCCAGTGAGGCAGTTGTGCGCCAGATCTGGTGGCTTGGCGGACTATATCTAGCCTGCTGGCAGCTTCTTGCCCATCTTGCCCTAAACAGTGGCAGAGCAGTACACAGTATAGTAGTTGCTCTTTTAGTACAGATGGTTCTGTAAATTCTATTTCAGAATTCATTGCCATACAACATTAGTAATTGGGAGAAATGTTCCCTCATGGAGTTAAATTATCTTTGCTGTACTGTACTTAAAATGGACTGCTACACTAAAATTACATTTAGCATAGTATAATAAACCTGGTGTCAAGGATGGAGTTATACAAATCACAGTGCTCATGGTTGCCCAGCTTGTAAGTGTGTGTGTGTGTGTGTGTGTGTGTGTGTGTGTATATATATAATTCAAAGATATAAGTTTAAACTAGGAAAACCTGGTGCTCAGTGTGACAGACACCTCCCCCATGCTTTATGAAATGGACTTATGGACATAAGGTGCTTTGAGCAAATTATTTCATGTAACCTATGTTCATGTCCTAAGCCACTGGTTCTGTTTATCTTATTTTGGTGTATGTATCATTCTTGTGTGTAAAATTAGACATGTGGAGTAGGGAATAGGTTGATTTTTAAGTGTGCAAATGGAAATCTGTCAAGGTAATTCTGCTGCTGAGAGGCCTCAATGTCTGGACAATCATATGCAAATAGCCTTTTCTCCTTAAGTCTTAGTGGTTGGTAGGGAGCGGCCAGGTGTCTCCCCATGCAATAAGGAAATTATTTAAAAAGAATAGGAAGGTAGGAGTCTGGACATACCCGAGGAGGGTGAACTAGAGACCCCAGGGGAAGGGAGATGACCCTGGTTTGAAGATGCATCTGGAAAAAACAGTTTTAGGGTGAGTTTGTAATAAGTTTGTGCTGAAGATTTTAGCATTAGAATTAGCTAAGTGTTTTTTGTTACTTTTGATTTGTAATATACTTTGCTCTACCTCTTCTCACTTGTAACCACTTCAATTCTACTGCTTGTACTTAATAAAATCACTTTTACTTACTATCAAGCCCAGTGTAAATAATTATTACCTGAGGGAGCAATCAGTGTATACATTCCCCCTTTCATTGTTAAAATGGGGTTCATGGGGAGAGTGGGGGTTGAACCCATTAGGGTAGTGGTATCCCAGGAAGCACTCTCCTTGGACCTGAAGAGATTTAGTGTATGTACTGCTTCTCAGGGGGGGCCATGATTCTCTGCTCTGTGTGTTGGCTGGGGGAGACAGCTCAGCATGACAGGATGGTAAGAAGCCCCAGAGAGGAAGGTGGCAGTGGCCTTGTCAGCACCCTGGGAATCACCCCCAAGTTCTTTTCTGTGACCTCACCCCGTCACACTTGGATAATAAATTAGTGAATTAACTCTGGTTAGCTTTATACCTTATTAGAATCTGAAGTGAATTTATAGCACTGGCATCCCCTCACGTGTTGTCCTCCTTGTCATCTGTGCAGTCATTTTGTATTTTCAAAGGCAAAACAGTTTTGATAAACTGCCTGTGACTGGAAGTTTAACATTTCTCAGAGAATTCATAGACTTGTGTTCAGAGCCAGAAAGAATACTTAGATCATTTAGTCTGACCTCCTGTAAATCACAGGCCTCTCTAGAAATCTGCCATCTAAACATCAAGGTGCTGAAGTTCAGTAGTCTTGTGTACAGGCAGTCCCCAGGTTACGTACAAGATAGACTCTGTAGGTTTGTTCTTAAGTTGAATCTGTATGTAAGTGAACTGGCGTCAGCCGCTGCTGAAACTGATCAGTTTCAAGCGCGGCTGAATCTGGACGCCAGTTCTGACTTATATACAGATTCAACTTAAGAAACCCAGGCCTCCCCAAGTCAGCTGCTGCTGAAACTGATCAGCGGCTGA